TACATAAATAAGGAAAATCATTCATAGGTAAAGAAGTGAGTTTTAATATAAATAACTTTCTTGTTATTCAAACTAAAAAATAAGTTAGTTACTCATTTGTCAAGAAAATTAAGTTATCCAATGAGAGATTATGTTACTTGTACATAAAAATAATAAATAATAGATTAGATAAAATGATGTAGAGGGAAAATATTAGATAAAAAAATTGACAATGTTTTAAACAGATAAATCTTTATATAATTTCTTATGTAAATCTTTATTATATGTAGCAAGATCCGCAAATAAGATAGAGTAACAACTTATCGAAACCATGGTACGTAAATAATAATGAACAAATCACAATTTAATGTAGAAATGCAAAAATTCGAAGGAGATGAAATAAAGTGAGATATGTGAATGCAAATCTTCTTAAGATGAATTTCGCCTGATGTAAAATATGATGGACATGTAGCATGATTGAATTGAATAAATATAGCCCTAGTTTGATAGAAATTTAAATTTAAATTTTAATATAAATCAAAGTCAACTATTAATTTTAATCATATATATTTAATAGAACTCGCAACTTTTCAATCACACAATTTTATCAATTTTTATCAAAATTTACTTCAAATTTGATTTAATCACAATCAAGCAAGGGCATAGTTCTTACCGGGGTTCCGTTTGGCAACCAATTTATAAATGATTTACAAACTCAATTAAAGTAAAATATTAATTTCAATCACACGAAAATAATTACTATTTATTTATTAACCATACATTTCGTTGGACCAACTAAATGGATTGTGTTACATGTACATAACAATTTATATAATGGTTTATCAACAGATGATGTAACGAGATTTAATACGATCAAAATTTCTCTATGAGATTATGTAAGATATTATGTAAATAATTATGTACGAGAAATATTTCTCTACATAAATTATTTTATAAAATTGCCCAATGGAAGCTAGTTAAATTTCACGTGCCGTTGAACTTTCAATAAATACAATTGCGGCAATGCTATGATGACACATATTTAACGTACGTTTGAAATATTTTTGAGTGGCTTCAAACTTTTTAATGTTCAATCAAAAATATCAAGAAAGCAAGGCTTATAGTATCTATCATCAATAGGGCCACCCCCGTGATATACGGCACCGTTTCGTATAATTATTGGTGTGGTTCACTTCGTGAAGATCACAAGTAGACTCAATTGAGTCATTGGGCAGCGTTTGGCATAACCATAAAGTGAGTGGAAAATAAAAACGGAAATATATTTTCCCAAATTAAAATTAAAACTCGTTAAAAAGTCTCAAAACTAAAGTGGGTTTAATCGAATAATTTTAAATATATATTTATTTTTAATTACCAATATAACATTCGATTCGATATTTGGCTATTAATCATTTATCTTTTTACGATCAACTCTTGATCCATTTTTTAAATATTGATAAACGATAGAATTCTACAACGTAATTGAGTCAATTGAAGAATTTGCTTTCAACGATTCGAATTAAGACACAATATTTCCCATTCTTTAAAACATTAATCGTCAAGT